AAATTCTCCTAGTGCCCTTGCTGGTGTTCTGAAATAGGGTTGACTCCGAATTTGATCCAGGACTTTGTGAATTGGAATGCGGAACACAGTCGTCACTGCCTGTATAGCCCTCAATTCTGTCTCTTGCTTGCTTAATCCATTGTTACCTCGGCCTTACTTCGGCGAGCCGTTTCCTTTCTCTTGCTTTGTCTCCTTATTTCCCGACGTATCTTCTTCGACTCTGGCATACTTCTCGATTCTCGCTATAAGCTCTTCTATGCTTTTTGGCAATGTCTTTGCCAAAGACTTTTGTAGTGGACAGTCGTCTTTTAGGCCGTTTTTGAAAGATATGACTGCCATCTCTTGATTACACCCTGGTATTCGGTTAAATACCTCATAGTATCTTTTTGCATAGGCCCTAAGGCCTTCATCCTTACTAATCTTCAGAACCATTAATGCGTCCACCCTTAATGGCTGCAGCTTGTTTGTCACGAACCTGGCCATAAATATCTCGGCCAGGCCTTCCCAAGTCTTTACGCTTCCCTTTGGTAGTTTGTGGAACCAATCTGATGCAATCTCCCCGAAAGATGAGGAGAACACTTTGCAGAGCAACGGCTCATTCCCACTGTACAATGCCATTGAGTTCAAATATAATCCAACGTGGAAGTTTGGATCAGACTTACCATCGTATATTTGGAATCTCGGCATACTGAATCTCTTCGGCGCCTCAAATTTGTCCAACTCTACCGAGAATGGTGTTCTCGGCTTAACAGGTGAAGTTACTTCGGCATCGGCATTATGTTGTTTCCTTTTGAGGTAATCTCTCAGGTCTTTCTTGCTCCGCCCAGGAGCTCGGCTATCCCCGGACTTCAGTCTTTTCGGTATACTGCTCTTAGCTTCGTTGTGGGCCTTTTTCGACCTTTCTCCATGAGTTGTGTCGAAGCACAGCTCCTGCCTTTGAACATGCCGATGTTCTTTAGGATCTGCTTCTTTAGTTCGATGTGTCCTTTGTGACTCTTCTCTTCTTGACTCTCCTCGTCCGACCTCCCTGGAAGATCGGTGAGAGTGTCTTTCACTCCTGGTGTGCTGAGGTGCTACGGGGATTGTTTTCTGCCCTCCCTTCAGGGCATTGGCCGCTGGAATCGGCGTGTCCTGCAGCGGGAATGGTGGCTGCATGACGTTGTTTTGCATCACAAAATTGACGACCGATTGCAGGTCCGCCAATTTGTTTGCCATCTCTTTTACCTCTTCGTCCCTCCGCAGGCATCTGTCCTTCCAAACCTGGAGGTCGATCTCGCTATAGTATCCACTTCGATCTGGTTTCTTTGGTTCGTCACCAGTCTGGTCGACGTCTTTCACTCCATGATTCTGGTCACGAGTTTCTGTGTTGCACTCGTCTCCTTCGTTATCAAGGTCAATAGGCCTCCCACTCCCAGCAAGAGTGCCGTCCCCAATCTTTTCCTTCTGTCCATCGTTGGCCATCTATTCTCCTTTCTTTCCCACAGACGGTGCCAAATTATGTGAGTGATTTTCTAATCACACTGCCAAATCAGTAATTAGCTGGAGAGCACTGGCAGAATAGATGACACCTGGCAGACCTGTAACAGAAAAAGAAGATTTCGGTGGTGGTTCGTCTACCCGGGGGCACTTCGACGATCAAGTCAGTATATCTCTCAAAGATAATCAACAGTTCTTAACTCACTGTTCTGAATATAAAATTGCGTACCTTCGACCCATGATGGTGCCTTTCTTTTATAACTAACTCATTCCTTGTTCTAACAGAAGTCTAGCTTCAATGGACTTTAGCTTAATACTTATCCAGGACTCTTTAACAGATAGAGATAAACTCCCTAAGAGTTTTATCCTTATCCAGGCTGAGTCCCCTTTTCATTCTAGGACTCTTGTCCTCCATCCGTATTAACTTTTAATTTGTTATACACTTAGTATTTGAGAGTCCAATTCTCTTATCATATCATTCTGGGTGAATTTATAAATTAAATGTGTGAATCTCTACTATTATATTTGCTTGTGGAGAGGATAGTAATGTGACATGAGAGAGACCATTATCTAAAGTAGAGACTATTATTAAAATATGTATAAGAAAAATGATCGGTTAAAATAATAGTTTGGTTAGTCATTTTAAAAGATGTTCATCATAGGAATGAATATGGACCGGGCTTTGGTGGCTTTGGGCCGTGTTTATATTACATAATGAAGTCATTTAGCAAATTCAGCTTATACTTTATTTCCAAACATGCTCAAAAACAAAATAAAAAATTTTAAACCCATCCACATGGCCCAAATATTATTTAATATAAATATTAGTTTTCATATTTTAAAATAAAAATTTATTATTAATTTAATCATTTAGGTGGCTCTTCAATATATTCAAGACTACTAATTTAAAATTTATAACTAATTATTTACCTAACCATTTTTTTTTTTTTTTTGAAAAAATATTTCCCCAACAAAGTTTGATGAAAATAAATAAGAAAAATGCTTGGGAGCACTAGAAATGGAGCACTAGAAGGACTACTAATGATGTGACAGTGGGCCCTGCCCACTTTCTATGCCTTGTTTCTTTTTTTTTTCTTTTTTTTTTTTTACCATTTTCAATGTATTAGTGCTATTAGTGATGTATTTTTTAATGGTCTAAATCATTGTTGAATATATAATATAAAACACACACACGCACACATATACATATATACATTAGAATATAAATTGTGAGCTGGCCGAACCAGGCTAGCCTACTAGACTCATTATGGCTTCATTTGAAAAGTGGATGGACTTTTTGACTTTTTGATTTTTTTTGACTATTTTAACTAGGGCTAAAAAGCCTAGTTTGAAAAGAGCTTTTGGTTTTTTTAACTTTTTTGTGAGAGAAATAATATAATGATTATGAGTTAGATGTTATATTTTATCTTATTGGACTAAAAAACTTATTTTATTTTTTATGACTATTTTAACCAAAAAAAAACCTCAAACTCATCTTTCCAAAACAGCCTCAAAAAAGCCTCAAACTCATCTTCCCAAATATAATTGAGCTCAAAATTTTTGCCAACCCAATTTTATGAGTATAAACTATAATCTCAAACTTTGTAAATTATAAGTGAATCAAGTAGACTTAGGTCTACTTTAGTAACATTACTTTTTAAAAATTAAAAAGTTATTAAAAAATTAATATCATATATTAAAAAGTCAAAATTTTTATTTCCTCTTTACTTTTTTCACATCTTTTTGTAAGAAATTAAAAAGTCATCCCAAACATATTAATTTTTTTCATCATATTTTAACCAAAAAAAATCAAAAAGTTACTAAAAAAATGTGTTCCCAAATGAGCCCTTAGTCGTCGTTTGACATAAGTTAAAAGTAGTTTTTTTGGCTAAAATAGTTGCAAAAAGACAAAATAAATTTTTTAGTCCAATAAGACAAAATGTCACATTTAAATCATAATCATTTCATTTTTTCCCTCACAAAAATAAAAAAACTAAAAAATTCCATCCCAAATTAAACTTTTTAATCTTAGATTAAAATAATTAAAAAATCAAACAGTCAACCCACATTTCAAATGAATCGTTGGCGAGTTATTTAGCCAATAACCCTCTTAGAGCAACTCATAAATGGATGTTTGAGATTTATTTATTTATTTGACCTTTTTAGAAATTTAAAAAAAATATATTTATTGTGTTTAAGAAGTCGTTCAAACCCTCCAATGATGTGATAGCACATTAAATATTTGGGGTGTCTTAAAAAAATGTATTTTTTATCTTTTTACTAAAAGATGTGCAGAAAAATAGAGAGATAATGTGATAAAAAAAAGATAAAAAGATAAAAAGATGAATTACATAGGTTATGCCAAACGAGGCCTTACATTAAGATTTCTAAATTATTAAAAAATATCACTTTATTTTTTAAAAAAAAATGTGTCCCCAAACGAGCCCTTAGTCGCCGTTTAACATAAGTTAAAAGTAGTTTTTTTGGCTAAAATAGTTGCAAAAAGACAAAATAAATTTTTTAGTCCAATAAGACAAAATGTCATATTTAAATCATAATCATTTCATTTTTTCCCTCACAAAAATAAAAAAAACTAAAAAATTCCCTCCCAAATTAAATTTTTTAATCTCAGATTAAAATAACTAAAAAATCAAACAGTCAACTCACATTTCAAATGAATCCTTGGCGAGTTATTTAGCCAATAACCCTCTTACTACACTTTATAAATGGATGTTTGAGATTTATTTATTTATTTGACCTTTTTAGAAATTTAAAAAAAATATATTTATTGTGTTTAAGAAGTCGTTCAAACCCTCCAATGATGTGATAGCACATTAAATATTTGGGGTGTCTTAAAAAAATGTATTTTTTATCTTTTTACTAAAAGATGTGCAGAAAAATAGAGAGATAATGTGATAAAAAAAAGATAAAAAGATAAAAAGATGAATTACATAGGTTATGCCAAACGAGGCCTTACATTAAGATTTCTAAATTATTAAAAAATATCACTTTATTTTTTAAATTATAAAATTATACAAATGCTTTTAAATTATAAAAATATACAAATTAAATCGTTAACAGAATAGATCAAAGTAAAACACGTTAATAATTTAAAGAGTCCATTTTGTACCTTTTTTATAATTTAAAAGACAAATTGATACTTTTAATAATTTAAGAGGTCAATACTTAATAATTTAAGAGTTTTGTGTATAAATAATCCCATTAAATATCTAAAATATCTTTCCTAATTATACATTGCTAAATTTAGAAAGTAAATCCAAAGAGTAAGTTTCTATATTATTTTCTCATAGTTTGAAATTTTTTTTATTTAATTTTTTAAGGCAAAAGCAAACTTTTTCTACAGTAGATTTTTTCCAAAAAATGAAAAAATTCCAAAAAGACATGAAATAAAAAACAAGCGCGTGTCCTCCATGCATCTAAGTAAATATCTGCTGCAGTTCACCAACACAAAACCCCCAAAAGTCCTCAACCTAAAACAAAAACAAAAATAATAAAATAATAAATAAATACAAAAACAAGCACACCAAACAAAACCACAGGAAGAAAGAGTGAAAAGAGTCTACAAAAAATCAATCCACAACTACAAAACCATCCATGGCTGAAGAAGAAGAAGAAGAAGAAGAAGAAGAACAATCAACATCTCCAACAACATCCTCATCCTCATCCTCATCCTCGTCCTCATCGATGTTGATAATAAGATTGATGAGTAAAAGAAGAACATGGGCATGTCTATTCATCGTGGTCTACACTGTTCTCTTAACATCCTCATGGAACATCCTTAAATCCATACTCTCATGGTACGAAACAACCACTTCCTCATCTTCTGCTCTCTACGCTTCGGTGGCGCTGGGTGCTCTGTTCGGCCTCCTCGCCATGGCGGCCGCCCTCGCCGTGGCGGTTCCGGCCACCATGGTGTCGTGGATAACGGTGCTGGTGCTGCTGGCCTTCTGTGGGAAGCCACGGACCGCTCTGGTGGTTGAAGGCAAGAAATTGACGGCTGAGATTGTTGTGTTTGTGGTCAAGATCTTGATCAAGGAAGGGAATGTTGTCGCCGCCATTTGTGCCGTATTAGGATACTTTGCACTGTTTAGGAGGAACAGAGATGATGTTGTTTAGTTTTGGAATTTGTTTTCTTTGTTGAAATTTTGGGAGACAGATTCAAGAACATGATAGAATTTGGGAAAGTTTCTCAATCTCTCTCCTCCGCACTTTCTCTCTCTAGGGGATATGATGGAGATTTTTTATTTTTTATTTATTTTTTTGGACTTGTAAATTAGGATTAGACTTGTAAATTGATCATAAAGAAGGGCTCTGATCCAAAACTCAGAGCGCCGACTTGAGGAAGCTCAAGAGCTAGTAGAGAACAAGGCTTGGAAGACTAGAGTGGCTGAGCTCAAGGCGGCGGGGGAAGTGGATTCAACCATGTCAAAAGACAGAGTAACCCAAAGCCTTATTGATCGGGCAATAGCTGATTGAGATACGACTAACATATTTGTCAGGGAAGTGATAGAGAGCTGAGCCTACAACAAAGGTTTCTTCAAGGGAAGGAAGGTTGACATTAAGAAGACAAGGGAGCAGTTGGTCAATGACGTCTACCGATGCGAAAATTGAGGGTTCAAGCGGCGGGTGTGGATTCTGCTTTGCCGCTATACCAGAGCTATGTAATGCCGTTTGAAGCCTATGTAATGCCGAAAAAAATGAATGATGAACAAGATGCTGCAAACCCTGAGCAGAGCTAATCAGCGTAATAAACCCCAGTTTGATTTTTGGGTTCAACTCCTGTGACTAGGACGCCAATCGGCCTTAGGATAAATATACCTGTAATGTAATTTGAATTTGTCATGATGTTTTCTTAATAAAAAAATCAATTTCGTATGTTTGCATTCATCAAGCTAATTATGTTTCCAAATTTCACTAAAAAATGATGTCTTACATGATGTTCCGAATTCGGAGGCTTAAACATTGACAATTCATGCCAAGCGCAAAGGGCGCTCCGAATTCAAAGGCTTAAGTGATAGAGCTTTGTGCTAATCACAAATAGTACTTCGGATTCAGAGGCTTAAGTGATGGCGCTTCGTGCCGAGTACGAAGAGCGTTCCGAATTCGGAGGCTTAAATGATGGCATTTTATGCCGAACACAAAGAGCACTCCGAATTCAGAGGCTTAAGTGATGGCGCTTCATGCCGAGCATGAAGAGCGCTTCTTCCTAATTCAGAAGTTGAATAAAAGTAAAGCAATCATAAGTAAACAAGTAACACAACATCTTGTATCATTGATTGACTGTACAGATACAAGGTAGTGATATACACAAAATCCAACAAACATTAATGTGAGAGTTGGAGAAATTAATATAACCGTCAATACTGATAATAAAAAATGTTGAGATGAGTTGAATTCTAGGGTTAAGGTAACTTCCTGCCGTTCATGTCTAAGAGTCGATATGGCCTTACCTCGACGATGGAATCAATCTAATTTGGGCCATCCTAATTGAGGCCGAGTTTACCATTCGCAGGATTCTTTACAGCAGGGAGGACATTTTTAAGGACCAGTTCTTTGAGAGTGTACCGGCGTAGATGTACTCATTGATTGTATGACTTAGTAAGTTACAGCTGATATCGCGCCATAGTCACAAGGGCCCATTCTCGGCGTTCTTCAAGTAAATCTATATCCAAGGCTAACATCATAGCATTCTAGCCTGTATCAAAAGCCCTTGATTAAAGGGCCGACAGGCCAATCTCTAGGGGGATGATAGCTTCATTGCCAAAACACAAGGCTAATGGTGTATCCCTCGTAGAACATCTTGGCGTAATGCGATGTGTCATGACCCAAACCCGCCCCCGTGGGTTAAGGACATAACCAGCCAGTAATCATGAGATTACCTACGGCCTCGAACCAAGACAAAAGTATTTTAACAGAGTTGATAGGGGCCAAACTGAAGCAGTTCAAAAACTTTGTCCATAGAGTTGTGCTTACATGGCACATCCAAGCAACCAAACACATATACATTAATAACTCACAATAGAAATACAGTAGCATAAGTTCCGTACAAACAGGATCATTCAAAAACTAAGTCAACCCATGAAAACTACATACAACATATACAAAGGCTTCGCCAAAATAACAACATAAAACAAAATGACAAAAGGCGAAGGCGAGTCTCATGCGTGAGACACATGGGCTGACTCTCCAAAACTCGGTTGTTCCACACAGACTTCATTGGGGTTGGGTCTAGACCTCTCTAGGCTCACCTACAAACACATGAATGAACGTGAGCGATAGCCCAGTGAATAATATCAAATAAGAAAACACAAACGATATGTAGAACAACATACTCCGAACGGCTTTGGGCCCAATTCACATTTTTATTTAACATTTATTCACCATTCCTATCAAAACGGCCTCCGGCCCACTCATTTATGTCAAAACGGCCTCTGGCCTATCCATCCATGTCAAAACGGCCTTCGGTCCATTCACTTATGTCAAAATAGCCTTTGGCCCATTCATTCATGTCAAAACAGCCTTTGGCCTATTCATTCTTGTCAAAACGGCCTTCGGCCCATTTGTTCATGTCAAAACGGCCTTTGGCCCGTTCATTCTTGTCAAAACGACCTTCGGCCCATTTGTTCGTGTCAAAACGGCCTTTGGCCCATTCATTCTTGTCAAAACGGCCTTCGGCCCATTTGTTCATTCGTATCAAACATTTATCCATAATTCAAACTGACAAACTCATAAGGCTTATAAGGAAATAAGCAATTGGACAACTGATAAGTTTCAAATATCGATATTACTCACAGTGATCGGTTGGTTGGTTTGCCCTGGAGCTCGACCCTACACAGTCCATGAACACAAAAGGCTCAACAACTATTCAATCCGTTCCCAAATTCACATTTTCCTCTCTAGGCTTTATTCTTATCTCTTTAACTCAATTACAATGCTCAATGCATGCCTAAGAGTACTTAGAAGTGAAAGAGAACAGGAAACAAAACACAGAATGCATTAACAAAATTTCAGAAAACAGGGTCCCCGCTCGAGCGTGGACTCTCCCGCTCGAGCGGACCCTTAAGGCCTGCAAAAGTAATGGATAGGTGAAAATTACGCTCGAGCATTCATTCTGGCGCTCGAGCGGAAGGCCTCTCTACATGGCTTCCTGCTTGAGCGTGAACTTCTCCGCTCGAACGGACACCATGTCTGCAAAAAGTATTGGATGTATCATTTTTACGCTCGAACGTGAACTTGGACGCTCGAGCGGAAGTTCATTCCACATAGCTCCCCGCTCGAGCGGACATCATGGTCTGCAGAAAATACTGGGAGCACGAAATTCACGCTCGAGCGGCGGTTTCCCCGCTCGAGCGGACATCAAATTTCTGGGTTTTCCCAGATTGTGTTCTTGAGCTCAAATTCGACATTTCAACCAACATTTCTCGCATTTATGGCTCCAACCTCACATATTCTTGTACTAGCATGGTATAAACACTAAAACACATCATCATGGAGCTCAATTTCATGAATCAAACACATGCATGTCCCAAATTGACACCAAATCCAATTCCAATATACACATTCATGCATTCAAAGCTCTTATCTTCATAAATTGTACATGCATGTGATGTATTGCTCCCATTTTCAACTTAGATGACACAAATGGTGATTATACATGAGCTTTAACCAAAATCCTACATGGATCATGTAATTGAAACTCAAACATGCAAATTCAAGCAATTACATACATGCATGCACACATGGGTCTTTAATACAACAAAATCAAACTAATTCATGTTCTTGACCCTCATTCAAACTTGAATTCACAAGGTGATAACTAAAAACACATGAATTACTCACCAAGAAGCTTTAATCTTCATAATCTATGGCAAATTCTTGAGTTATCTTCAAGACTTTCAAAGTTCAAGAGCAAAACTTGCACAATTCTTTTCTCTCTCTCTCTCTCTATAGCCGGCCTTCACACCCTCTCCATGCCTATCTCAGATTTTTGAGTTCAAAAAGGAGCAAAGAGAGCGTATATGGCCATATAAAAAGTCCCACTAATGCTTATTTAATAATATTAAATAGTTGGGCACTAATTCACCAATTTAATCAACTTAATTTGATCCAAATCAATTTTCAATTAAATTTCACCGTAGGCTCTAAAAATTATGCCAATCACAATGGTGTAATCAATTTCGGGTTCTGTGGTCGATAAGGCCTTCAATTTAATTTCCAAAGCAGATAATCAAACAGATATTCCTACGGTGAACAGATAGAAATTCAAAACCGTATATATCCACATAGTGGCACACAAAATCATATTAAACACATAATCATACTCAAATTAAGGACCAATTAGCATACTACGGAACAAGGGTATCACACGATGGGCCCACAATACACTCAACAATTCCTTAACCCACTTGCCCTTGGCTTTTTTCAAACATTTCTTGATGCCATCCAAGACTACTTTGTTAGAAGCTTTCGCATGTTCGTTACTCTGTAGGTATGCTGGTGAAGAAAACTAGGGTTGAATGCCATATATGTCGCACAACTCCCTGTAGACGCCACAATCAAACTAAGTGTCGTTATCAGAAATAAGTGCCTTGGGTATACCGAATCGAGTGATGATATTTTTTTCAAACAAAGCGCTTGATATCTACATTCCGTATATGTGCCAATGGTTCTACTTAAACCCATTGTATGGAATAATCAGTAGCAACAATTAGGAACCGCTTATTGCCTAGTGCTTTCGGTAGTGACCCAATTACATCCATGCCCTATTGAGCAAAAGACCAAGGATTGGTCACAGAGTTTAGTTCTTCGGTGGGCAGATGTGTTAGTGGAGAAAATTTTTAGACTGTTCGCATTTCTTAACATAATCCTCAACGTTGGTACACATAGTCGGCCACCAATAACCTTGTGTAAAGGCTCGATGAACTAATGATCTTCCTCCTAAGTGAGCGCCACAACTGCCTTCATGAATCTCAGCCAAAAAATCCTCAATCTTGTCTGGATGGACACATTTCTCGTAAGGCCCAGAAAGAGATTTTTTTATAAAATTTTCCTTGAGGATCCAAATAATATCTTAAAGCCTTATTACGTAGCTTGTGAGCTTCCTTCTTGTCCTCTGGCAATTGTTCTGAAGCAAGGAATGCAGCAATGAGATCCATTCAACTCGGCCCCCTTTGGATGGTGTTCACAACGGGATG